TATATATATATATATATATATATATAATATATATCTCAGTTATTGACAAGTTGTTGGCACATACCATCGATCACAAGGTAAGCAATGTCAAATTATGTACTGAAATTGCACATTGCATATGAATGCTATGCGGTAGAAATGTTGTGAAGATGCATGACAATAAGAGTCAATAAAGAATGGTCGAGCTGATATAGACAATGGTCTCATGATAAGACTCGACTGGCAATCAGAATATCATGATCAAAACCTATCATATACTAAATTTGGAGAATGAATTCAATGCAGGAACAATAGTTCGCTTTGAATCATTGCTAGTGATGTTTCTGTGCACGCTTTTTGCAGAGTGTTCTGATCTATTCCGCCCTTCATTTGTTCTGTTCCGTTCCATTCTTCTCATCCTTTTTTTCTGGAAGTGTTCTGCCATATTCCCTGAATTACAGCAGGGATAGAACTACAATCTGACGGGAAACAATTTTACCTCACTATCAATATTAAAATTAGGCGAACTGGTTTCCAGCCGAATGATCAGTGGTTTTGCTCACAGTATCAGCGTTCTGAGTTTAAAAGTAGCAAGAAAGTTGCTCATCATGTAAACGACTGAACAAAGATTCTAGTAACGAGCAGTGACAGTCATCCACACATCAAAAAATCCCATTGAAATATCGAATAACTCGTACCATCAAATCAGCTGAAAAATCAGTGACTCTAATAAAGAAAGAATCACTAAGCCGTTCTTCGAGCGTTTACTATCCTTCTACGAATATTAGATGTTAAAGTCAGCAACGCATGATGATCAAACTCCCTGCATAGTAACACCTCACCAAAATGTATCCATTGAGACTAATAGCTTATAGAGATATTGCAGAATATTTGTCACTCTCAAAATATCCAAATTGACTCCTCGTTGAGCCGAGATCACATATTGATACTATTTATTTAGATTTTATTATCCCCCTTGAAAGCATTTCACTTCGAGTTAATTTGGTATTCAGTGAATTCTGAAAAGATGGGTTTTGGCACTTGTGAAAATTTGCGACGATTCTATATCAGTATTTTCTGACGCTTCCCGG